CAGGTTCAGCACCTTCGCCTGGAGACATCGGGAAAGGAAACTCTTGCAGGAAGCGCGTTCCTGTGGGGTACCGCCTGAGGATTTGTTGGAGATCATCTGCTTGTGGCACTCCAGTTTCTGCGTTTCTGCTCGGACTTCGTGGATGTGGTGCACCTGCCTCGATTGTACTTGCCAGCTGCCCTGCATCAATGCTGGAGTGCTTGGATTGCCAGCGGTCACGGAGTTTCTCGAGTAATTCCTCGTTCAGGTCATGACGCAACCAAGTGCAAGTACATGAAAGCCGTGAGACCAGGTTTGCTTTTCCATCTTTTCCAAGCAGCATACGCAGCTTCAAGGCCAAGTCGTTGCCCAACGGCGTGGGCAGCTGATCCTCAAGAAACCAAGGAGCAGGCGCTGGGGAGCTAGGAGGGAACGCGTGGAACCGACCGAGTACGACAGAAGTCGTGGCCGGGGCTGTGAGTGCAGCGTGCCTTGACTTTCTACTGCGTCACAGGACTGTGGACGGTTGCATCCACGTTTCACTAGGCGAGTGGATCGACTCCAATCTTGCTCAAAGCCCTCCCCAGCTCAGCAACCGACACACCTTCTGCCTAACCACCAAGACACCTGCTGCCCAGCAATCTGGTGTGAGCTTTCTCTGCCTCGGCAGAGTAGCAGGCCCCACACCCAATTCTTCATGCGTCTCAGTCATGCGAAGACATAAACGTATTTTTGTGACGTTTTGTGGCTTGCGCAAGATATTACGAAACGTGACAGCCTGATCTCATCTGTCAGAAGCAAAAGACTGCCTTTCGAAAATCTCGCCCAGCAGCATCATGTCGTCAAGCAGGGCGACAGCGCACACCCAGGCCCCACCATCTGCGCAAGCCATTAGTGCAGCTCCAAAATTCGCTTCACCGGGCGAAACCTTCGTGCAAGACAATGTTCAGCCAAAGCCAAGGTCACTGCTTCCAAGCTTGCAGTTTGCTTCCCCATACCCTAGCCGGAAGAGCTAGCAGCTAGGAATACGTTGAATCGACAGAAGGACCGGGACCAAAGCAAGCCTGCTTCTTGATGAGCCCGTCGAAAACGGCAAGAGCATTGCGCCATTCACCGGCTTTGTGACACATGCTGGTTCCCAGAGTACAAGCGATCTCGTCCAAAATGCAAGCCGCTTCCATGTCCTCTCCGCAAGCCAGCGAGGCACAGAAAAGACTGGGTATTGTGGGATGGTGAGAAACGTGACAACTTGGCTTATTCTTTGCAGGGAGGCATAGCACATGGTCTCATGGTCTCAACGTCCTCCAGCAATTGCAGACCTGCAACATAATGACATGCAGGAAAGGTGTCTCGGTCCGTATGGCTGTGCGCGGCGGGTCAAGCCTGCTCTCCAACAAGCCGCATGTTCGCATGCGGTCAGAGCCGCGGAGAAACATGCCGAGTCTGGAAAGCCATGCATGTCCTGGAAATGCGCGAGTCTGTGGAAAAGGTTAGAGAAGACAAGTTTCTCAAACAACGCCGCGGGTTTGTGTTTTGCCGAGCATCTGCCAAGACTGCCAATGCCAGCTTCCACTGCATTCCCTCTGCCAAAGCAGCCGTCAAAGCACCATAAGTGACCTGAGCGGAGTCTGCTCAAAATCAAGATGAGATGTCATAAAGAGCCAATGAAGGATCGGAGGTATCAGCCTGTTTGCTCTTCGGAAAGCTCCTGTTGTCATGTGGGGCGGAAACTGACTTCGGACGGAAGACCGTTGCCGTCATCACTCGGCTATCCAGAAAACTACTGGTTGAAAACAGCTGCAATACAATCAATACAGTCTTTGTTTTTCAATTCAGTAGAGGCCAAGCCTGGGCCAAGCCGGAAGAAACGGCCAAGCCTAGGCCAAGCCGCAAGAAGCACGGAACGTGGCTGCGGCCTTGCCCCATACACGTGCGTATCTGGCATGTGCTTTTTGTAGGATTTTGCTAATTTCATTGATAGTTCTGTCATGCGCCCCGGTGGGGGGGCTGATAGCGTCCGGTGGCTTGTTCTCGAAAGTGCTGGTATTTGCAGGACTTTTGTGGTTTGGAGTCAAGATTGGGGTTTTTGTCTGAAGGCTCCAATCAGGTACCTAAAAGTTAGGGCGCGCTTTTCAGCACACTCGGCTCAAGTGCGTGGCGAAGTCGGCCTTCCTACCCAGTTGGCAACGCCAG